AGTTATGGCGCGGCGAATTTTCGGGGACCTGCCGGGCACACGGCGGCGGACGTCACTCCACGGAAGCGGCGTTCAAACGGAAATATGTTGAGCTACAACTTCCGACTCCTGAAATTTTAGGAGTAGATCGCACGTTATGGCGCGGCCAATTTTCGGCAGAAAAAAATCTTATTACGGGACCCTGATACGAGTAGATAAATTCAGTTACTAAACAAAAAAAATGCTAACACGTGATGTAGCCAGAATCCATCTTTTGTGGGTCCTTGATACCGAAAAGCCGATTGACGGCAAAACGTCTTTCTGTTCGTCCGTAAGTCCGCCTGTCTGTCCGCCTGTGAACAACGCTAGCGGCTAAACCATTCAGCAGATTTTCTCCAAAATTGATATTCTCCCATCGATCTCGCTGATTTTACGGCCCGTTGAATTTGAAGTAGATATTTTAATTTGGAGGTACTTAACATGAAGCCCCTCGAACATTTCACGAATTTAAAAAAAATGGCTCCTAAATTTTTGATAAAATTTTGTAGTTTAATAGTGTGAAGGACGTTTAAGAGAGTAGTGCAGGTCTCATGCTCATTAAAAACCCTATTTTTTTTTCGAAAATTGCAAAAACATATTCCGAGTATTCTTGGAAATAAAATATTAATGCTAGATATTTCTTCTATTGATGAAGTCTGTTCCTTGAAGATTGATTTTGAAATAAGGTCACGTACAATTGTTTTTGTAATTGACAACTTTTCGCATAATCTGGCGTGAAAATACGTCCGTTTTAGCACCACTAATTTTGTACTTATATAACTACACTTTTCAACAACTAAGGTCATATAGCGACCACTTTACGTAACATCGGGGGAACTGTACCAGTATACGCACACACACAAACGACCATGCTCCGGGCGGGAATCGAACCCACGATCCTTCAGGCAAGAGGCAATTTCGGCTCGGCCTCCCGATATTCTTTGTTTCGCACTTCGGACACTATAATACGAACCATTATGTCTCATATGCACTGTCCTGATTCTTATGTAATTACACTTTCATTCTTTCTGTATTAAGTTCTCAAAATTACGATCTTGACGAATCAGGGCAATCCAAACACAATATACATTTTTTCGTTTCATATTTTGTACTATATGTGTATTTGACATATTTTGCAATTTGTTTTATTATTCTACCAATTTTATGTTCCAAAAAATATTTAATGAATTTTCAATTAAAAAAAATGAAACTTATATTTTTTCCACATATTCATGGTTGCGTGCTAACGATGTATTGTACTCTACGTGAAAGTGTGATAACATGCATGCGATCACTTTGGGTTCATCTCTTTTAAGTTGTGACAAGTGCGCGGTGAGCGCTGAGAATATGTATTATCTTCAGATGCAATCTTCACTGACTTCGCGTTTCTTGATCTTTCATCCCAACTTACGAGACATGTTGAGTTTGTCGGAGACGTGGACCACTACGAAGACTATGATGAAGAGAGCTTTTGTCCGTCATTGAGTGTTCACGTTTGTACGGTTATTATCACTCTCAGCGCCTTGAAACCCATCCAAACCACTTAGCCCTCAACACCCTAGACAATAGTGCAGATATCCATCGACTAACCAGAACCTCACCCCTACAACTCCCATATATA